CAGTGCCCACCCCGGGCATGGGGCCAGCACCTCCCAGTGAGGTTGCTCCTACCTGCTCAGACCAGACACTGGAGTGTCCCTGCTCAGGGGAAACATCCTGCAAACTCGTTTGGGAAGGGAGATGCGCCATCTCCATCATCACCAGCAGTGCCCATGGCTGGGGTCGCTAATTTAACAGGTTTAATACGGAGACAAGGACAGGTAATGAGCACTAAGCAGTTATCTTTATAATCCTAACAAGGGTCTGCACAAATAATTAGCGTAAAGCCTGCCACTACCTTTAGAGGGGTGTTATACTCACATAAGAAGAATATGGAGCTGTAGGAGCGGGTCCAGAGGAGGGCCACGAAGATGATCCGAGGGCTGGAGCACCTCTGCTATGAAGACAGGCTGAGAGAGTTGGGGCTGTTCAGCCTGGAGAAGAGAAGGCTCCAGGGAGACCTTCTAGCAGCCTTCCAGTACCTAAAGGGGAATACAAGAAAGCTGGAGAGGGGCTTTTTACAAGGGTATGTAGTGATAGGACAAGGGGCAATGGCTTTAAACTGAAAGAGGGGAGATTTAGATTAGATCTAAGGAAGAAATTCTTCACTCTGAGGGTGGTGAGGCACTGGAACAGGTTGCCCAGAGAAGTTGTGGCTGCCCCATCCCTGGAAGTATTTAAGGCCAGGTTAGATGAGGCTTTGAGCAACGTGGTGTAGTGGAGGGTGTCCCTGCCCATCTTTAAGGTCCCTTCCAACCCAAACCATGCTATGATTCTATGATTCTATACAGATTTTCAGTCATTTATACAGCCAATTTATGCCATCCAAAAGCAGGAGGAGCATTTCCTGCTGCCCATGATCCATCAGCCTGGTTCATGTGAAATCATGTGGCCGAGTGTGCTGGGGTGCAATGCTTTGCCTGTTCACCCCTTTCACGGGCTCCTGCTACAGGAATGATGCTGGACGCAGGTGCCCAAGCTGGATCCAGCCCCGGGGAGCACAGGGAGGGCAGTGTCTGCTGGGTCCCCTTGCCCGGGGTGTTGTGCAGCAGCTGTGGCCATGCCAGTAGCATGCTGGCCCACGACACGCATGAGCCATTCCCGAGCACATCCACACCAGCCTCTGCACTGGGGGTTTGGGGAGTCACCCACTTTGAGCAGTGCCAGTGCATGAAGGAATGCGGTCACGGGTAATTAAAAAGGGTTTTTATTTCCTTATTACCACATTTCCACTGCATTCTCTCAACTTTTGACTTCCAAGAGCAGAAATTAGTTCATTTAGAAATGTTTATTAAACCAGCAACGATTTAAAAAAAAAAAACATGTAGATTGCTACGGTCTCTCTTCAAGGAACCAGTCCATCCCTCATGGCATAACCTCCCGTGGGTTAGGTAAGCCTTGTGATGTCCTTTATCCACTTCAGGTACTTGGAGACCCTGGTGTAGATGCCATATTTACCTGGCTTGGCACATTCCTCGCCCCAGCTGGTGATCCCGGTGAGAAACCAGGTGCCCTCAATCTCGGTGGTGTAGGGACCTCCACTGTCCCCCCCGCAGGTGTCACTGCCCCCGGACGCGAAGCCCGCGCAGAACATGTTCTGCAGAATGGTGGTGGAGGTGCTCTTGAGGCAGGTCGGCCGGTCAACGAAGGGCACCTTGAGGACCTGGAGGATGGTGGCTGGAAGGGGGCACCGCCCCAGCCCCTCACCGTCCCCATCCCATGCTTCAGCAGGGCGTTGGTGAACTCCCGGTTGCCGATGCAGATGGGCGTGACGTAGCTGTTGAAGGTGAGCGGCTGGTCCAGCTCCAGGAGGGCGATGTCATTGTGGTGCTTGTTGATCGCAGCGTTGTACGTGGGATGGGGAAGGATTTTCACCACCTTACGCTGCTGCTCTGTGTTGTCTTCCTTGTTGGTGTTGTATTCACCTGCAGAGACAAGCATGGCTTGGGGTTGGGAGCCTCCACGGCTGGACCAGTGACCATGCCCTGACGGTGTGATGCCATACCAATGAGACACCAGCCCAGCTGGGTGATTGCAAAGGGATGAGTGCTGCACACCCCAGCCCTTGGGCTGCTCTGAGCTCACTCCTTGTCAAAGGGCCTTCGAGGTTCGCCTACGCCAGCATCTCCTTGGTCCCCGCAGCTGGCAACACCTGAACCCCCCGACATGACGCAAGGCCCATCAAGTGCCAAAGGTCCAGGTGCTATTTTGCCAAGGTTAGCAGCAATGTGGCTGTTCTGGGGACTTATCACCCAAAGAGATGTAAGGGGATGTTGCCCTAGCACCAAAGCAAGGAAAGCCTATAGAATTAAACTTTGTTTAAAATAAATCATTTATTAGCAAAAAGAAACCTGCATTTCCCTTTTCTAAAGCCACACATCCACGGGGCAGAATGAGGGGCCGGGGGCTACAAAATGCCACCCTTCCTGATGCTCACAGGTGTCCCTGAGTCCCTGCCACCACCCGAGGCTCAGCTGCTGGCGATCGCAGGTGATGGGTTTACTGGCAGCCTATTACCTCCCGTCCCCACCCATGCAACAGGTAGAGGGAAGGGAAAGTGTTCTGTGACCTTGGGCTGGTGAACGGGCAGTGTCTGGCTCTGTCTGTAGCCGAATCCTCTCTCCTGGCCATGATCCAGCTGTGCTGAAGCCTCTCCACCGGGATGACTTTTCCCTCTTGCTTTCTCGCAGCCCAAGAGGCGCAGGGTGTGTTTAACCCCTGCTGTGCTATTTTGACAGGCTTTGCTGTGATCTCCAGGACACAACATCTCCTCTAAACAGCATCTGCAGCGTTCCTGGCCCTGGCAGTGCCCTGTGCCTGCTGTGTCCCTGCGAGGAGTGGTGCAGAGCCTGGCAGGGAGGTGAGGCAGCTCTCTGGGGTCACATTAATGCTGTTGCCTACTGAAGGTGAGTTTGAGGGCTGGGGCTGCTGATGTGCTCTGTGAGGGGTGGGTTGTTTATTTTGCAGTGGAGTATGAATGTCAGCTTCTTCTCGGGCTCTGTTTCTATGGTGTGAATGCAAGACAGATGTGGGGGAGACTTTCAGATGGTTTTTCTTCTGCTACAGCTGCTTCCTATTGCCGGGGAGCTGGAAATAGCTTCAGGGATGAAAGTGGAAAGGCAGAGAAGGAGAGGGGAGAGGAATGTTTCTTCCACACCCTGCTACTGATTTTTGGGCCTCCTAGGATGGTATATACTAAGCTGAACATTTAGTGTAAATGGATGTGGAGGACTGAGATGTTGCCCACGCTGCTGTGTCTGCGGTGCAGGTGTAAATTCAATAGTCCCTGAGGCCCTGCAAAATCGTGTTTTGCTTTCTTGACTTGCTGCCTGTCCAAAATCCCTCCCTGAAAACCCAGTGGTGGCACAGAGCAGTGTGAAGGTAGGGCAAGGGCACTTGGCTGAGAACGTTCCTAAATGGAGGAGGTGTGTGACGTGCAGAGAGAGCCCGACAGGAGAGGTGGTTTGCACACAGATGCAGCAAACACGAAACCTCTGCCCAGGTGAAGACATGCGTTTCTGGAGGGGAGACTGTTTTTGCATGGGGCCTTTCATACTTTCTCATGTTAGTGGGTGCAGGGCTGCGCTCTCGAGCAAAACTGCCTGAAAAGAGACAGCAAAAAATGTTGCATGCAAGCTGTGAGCCTCATCCTGCCAGCACTGGGCAGGTGGTGCCCAGCCCCATGGTCTCAACGGTCTGGCCAGGCACACCCAGGAGCTCGGCCACGTTAAGATGGAAGATGAAGATGCAGCTAGAGCCCTCTTGATGAGCTTGTTTCTGTAGATATAAGCTCAGTGGTTCAGGGCTTGGGTAGAATGTCATTTTTGTCACTAATACATTTCGTAGTGTTTAAACAGAAAATGTGATTGATTATTCCATTCCTCCTCTGAGTGCTGCTCGTAGCGACTACTAACCCTGTCCCCTCCTCTACCCATCGGTGTAACCTTCCCACACTAGATGCTCACACAGTGGAGAAACAAATAATCTGGGGAAGCTGATGCTGCCACAGCTGCGACACGTGGCACCACGACGCTTGCCAGGGCCCGGCGCTGGGTTATCAGCAGGCTGCCCAGCAGGCAGGCTGGAACAGCTGGATGCCAAGAGTCGGAGGAAACACCATTTTTCAAGCAGACAAACATTTGTTTTGTAAAGTAGCAGCATCGCTTGCCATGTGGTCTGTCCACGCTGCCCCAGCCTAACTCCCCAGAGACCCTGCGGTAAAAGCACATCTCCCCCACTCCAGCTCAGTTTCTCTGCTTCAATCCATAAATTCTATTTCCTTCTAAAGATGTTAGGAGCTAAAGTCAGCTCTTTGTAAGGATGTAGTCAGATCGATGGAGCCCGTCTTGAATCAGCCACGCAAATCCATTCTCTGAGAGTTGTGTGAAAGCTTACTGTGACCCCCAAGAAGAACAGAAATCTCTAGCAAGGTCTTACATGGCCAGCAGAGATAAAAATCCATCACACCAGCTCATGAAGCACCATCTTAACTGAAGTCTATGGGGCTTTTAAGAAGCCTGGGGTGCTCCTTGGCTCAGGCGAAATTGCCTGTGGTTGGGTTGAGCTGTTTGCAGAGTGGTCCAGCAGCTCCGTGGCTTTGGGATTGAGGCCAGACCCAGGTCACTTCTCCCATTGGAGGTGGAGGTACCCGCAGAGACCAGGCTGCTGAAATGCTGCAATCCACAGAGTGCAACCAGGGCCTCGGTGCCCTCAGGCAACTTGTGCTGCATTGCTGCCCATCGTGGTGGTGTGGGTCCCAGGGTTCCATGCAATGCCCTGTGCCTGGCCAGGGCAAGCCCTGTCCCGTGTCCCTCACCTGCGCTGGCCTGATGCCACCCCAGGTGCTCACCTGCCACGGCAGTGACGTTGTCGCCCGGCTGCAGGCAGTGCGCCGCTGTCACTACCCATTTCTCGTTGATGATGGACGCGCCGCAGAAGCCCACGCCGTGGCTGTTCACCAGATGAACCTGGGGAAGCAGAAGGAAATCACACCCGTGGGTTCGCCTGAATCGGTGGGAAAGAAGAGTGGGACATGGGGGTTTTGTTTGGCTGTAGGACAGGCTGTGTTTAGGTCGCACAGACCCAGTGATGCCAGAGATGCTGCTACTCGGGGAGTCCTTGCCCCTCCATCCCTGGCTCTGTTGTAGAGGGTGGCCAATGTTACCCTGTGTACATGTTAGTGGCCCGTTGCACTTCTCCTCCCTTTGCTGCCAGGCTGGGAGGACAGCCAGCCCCAAACAGAAACCTCAGCGTGTCCGGAATACAAGCACTTCCACATGTACCTCCTAGAAGTGTTTTGCCAGTGACTAGATCTTAACTAGGGACAAAATCTCAACTACTGCTTTTATTTGGGCGTCTAACTGACTCGGCACCAATGGGGCACAAGCTGGGATATCCGTTATGCTAAAACTTCTAATTAAATTGATCAACTGACTTAGTGGACTGTATTTAAATGAAGGATTTCTTTACAATTCACTCATTTTGTTCCGTTAGTGTGACATGGCTCATCTCTGTCTATCTACCTTGTGTTTTCCACATATTTACTCGTTTGATGCCTTGTTAGGCAGAGCTGGCTGTGTTTTAAAGAGCTCAATATCCATAGCGAAGAGGACGAAGCCCACCTAGACTTGAGATTTATTGCTAAACTAACCTCAGAGATGGGCTTTGGGTATGTAGAAGTAAAAAGATCTTGTGTTCAGAAGGAAATTAACAGAGAGGGATGGCTGGAGTTACAGGAGAGCTGCAGAAACAGCCAGTACCTGCCAGGGCACCTCGCCTTTCATGCTGTCTGATCCGCCGACAACCCGGGTGCCCGTCTTAATGATCGGTGTGATTTTCGTGGTGGCGACGGTGCTGGTTTCCGTGACGTTGTCGAGCACCTCGTCATTAGCATTGTCAAGCTCATCAGCAGTGACGTTCCAGTGCTCAAAGGTGTTTATGGCTCGGGTGAGCTTGCTCTTGGCTTCGGGAGCCGTGATCCTCCCGCAGGGGTACGGCACTGGGAGAGAAACAGTTGCGGTTACGACTGGCTGCGCGTCACACTGAGAGTTAGAGCAATGGAAGGAGCAGGAGAGGGGGACAAATGCTGCCTTGTCCCAGCTCCCCGTTTTGGGACCAACACGGGAGATGCCAACTCGTGTATTCCCTGTGCAGACAGATGCCTGTGCCTTTGAGCAGCAGTGCGGGTGATACGTGAGAGAGACAAACGCACGAATAATTTCTGGGCTTTAGAAATGAGTCTTTTAAAAAGAAGAGAGCTTGTGAGAGAGAGAGCGCCCGTCTGACGGGACGGCGCAACTGGGCCGTTATCTCTCGGGATGCCGAGGTGCGTGCCTGGGAGGGCTGCTGGGGCAGGCAGCTGTGGCTGACATTTCCACCGCCAGTACCTCCAGCACAATAACAGTCCAGCTGGGAGAGGGCAGGAAATGATATCTGCCAATCGTACAGATAATCCTCCTTGGCACCAAGGTGAGGAAAACATTAATAAACTCTTTCTGAAGTTGTAGATTTCCTCTGTTAACGAAGATCTCATCTGCGGGCTCGTTGCAGACGAGCTCTTCCCATTTCTCTCCTACGCAGCGTGTGCCCAATTCCCGCTGATAGTGGCAGTCAAAATAGTAAATAGCATCAGGCATTGTCTTTCATCTGAAAAGCTTTCAACAGCACCGTGCAAACAAACCTTAGTGTAAAATCAGATGTAAGTGTGGCCTATGGTGGTTTTTTTTTTTTTTTGAACTGTAGGAGCAGGGCTCAATTAAGTGTTGAGTGATAGAAGTGCTACCTGTGGGGTTAGGCTAGGAAATGAAGGTTTCAGAGCCAGGAAACAGTAAGCTTTTGCAGGAAGGGCAATTACCCAACTTGAAAGATGATCTTACTGCTAACAGTAAAACTTTCTGGTCCAGTGAAAGTGATACAGCGTGTTGGGCAACACAGACCTGAGCTCTTAATGATCTCCATTAACAAAAGGACTCCCAACCTAAGAGACTTCCTATGCTGACTGCTGAAAGTCAGCGCTTCTAGGAGCTCAAACTGTTCCTGGCTGCAACTATCAGACCTTCAGAAACTAACTCACCTGTGCGGGTGCCTGCATGCTAGATTAGGTGTGCAAATCTGTTACTCTCAGGTGTTAGAAATATGGTAGCATCAAATGTTAAATTGAGCTTAGATGACAAAATATTTCTCTATTCAATCTCCTCTTTCCTCTGCCAGATGTGCTTCTGAAATGTTCCTGCCCAGTTAACTTGCTGTGTTGCGGTGGGTTGGGATTGCACATGTTGATGCAGTAAGAGGTGCTGTAACAGCCTAAGAGAGGAGTAAAGTTGGGGAATATAACAAGAAGCAGCTATTCTTTAGCCTTTTATGAAGTTGCAACCTCAAGCAATGCATGTCCCCTGCACCCCACCCAATACCACAAATAAACCACAGTCTACTTCCTGTTGAGGATCTTTGTGTGCAGATACATGCTGTTGGGAGGACAGCACCACCACAAAGCTTCACTTGTTTTCATCCAAATCAGGTAATTAGAAGACACTATGTGATGGCCAGCTGTGAAACGGACCATCAGGAGGATTTACAGTAAGAATGATTGTCTTTTGTTTTGAAAAAGCCCAGAGCATTCTTGATGTAGGATCAGGAAATAAACAGTAGCTCCTGCTGGAAGAACTTGAGAGTGAGGTCTGGCTGGATGGACACCAGCAAGTATTCTGATGTAGCTGAACATCACATTTCTGCCTCCAGAAAACTATTGATCCATATTTAGGGACATAAAATGGCTGCAAGTGGGAGAGGTCCCTATGCAAGCAGCCATCTGAAACAATCATTTGCCTTGTGAACAAATTCCTGGGCACCGACCCTCCTTCTCTACCCCCCTAGGCTTCAAGCCTGACCCTACATCTACCGTTGGGAAAGTGCAGGGTCAGGCTCTTTACATTTGCTAAGCAAGAAAATAAGGCTGGTTTCCAACAGGATATTGCATTTCTATGAGACTCATGTATCTAAAGCCAGGACAAGCCCTTGGAAGCTTTCACCCAAATCTCTTAAAAACAGTTTAAAATTAACCTGTAGGTTCACAGGACTTTCCATCTTCATGAAGTCTATAGCCAGCGGCGCAGGAACACACAACTTTCTGCGGCGGGTCATGCTTGCAAAAGTGCTTGCAGCCTCCGTTTTTAATAGCACAAGTGAAGTCTGAAAGAAATTAACATGAAACTGTGAAAGCCCTTTTGAAATACAACTGGTCAGAGATTTGTTGGGACTAGGGTCTTTGGACTCAGCCTATAACCCACTCTGGTTGTTCCAGACTGTGGAAAACAGATGCTTATTTGGAAGGAGAGTGTCGTCCTTCCAAATCCTACCCCCGCTCGCAATGAACAAGTGCCAGGTACCTCTTCAAGAAGGTGGGTTGAGGAACAGCCCTATGAGAGGTCCGGCCAAGCTCTGGCACAGCCTCCTACCTCCAACAGCTGCACGCTGTCTGAAATTTGGCAGCCTGACCACAAAGGACTCCTGCAAATATTTGGTTACGAGCCACGTGATTTCCCCACCATCGTGCTGCTTTCCTCCCCCGTGTGCTTATGGCAACCTAGCCCTGGTGTGGATGCTAGCAGAGAACGCCGTGGGTCAAATGGGAGCAAACCCTGAACCCAAGAAGGGCTTTTTCCTGGGATTGTCACTGGGCTCCAAATTTAAAACCTCAAGCAAAGCCATATGTTCTTCCTGACGTACCAATAAATCATCGCAGCCTGACATGGAAGACCCGTTTCAGCAGAAAAAATCCCAACCTGAGGCATGGCGAGATTCCCGTGACTTGTGCCTGTCCTCTCCCACCCCACCTCTTGCTCCTCTGTGGTGGGACCACCATCTCTTGGAGGTGGGAAACCACTAATCTGCAGACGCCCTTTTAATTCTCAGTGAGTTTTCAAATAACTTCACAGCAGATTAACTCCACTCCTACTTCCTCAAGGACACCTCCCTTCCTGTAGCCATTTTAATGCCATCATTTACTATTTTTGCAGAGCTTCTTTTCACGCCTCACTTCTAGTTCTATTTTTGTTCCTGTCTCACTTCGACAAGAAATCTGCAATGAGACTATTTAAATTTGATGCAGCTTTGAAATGCTCTTTTTAACATACACTCCTCTCTTGCCAGCGCAGAAGCACAACTAGAAAGAGAATCTTTTATTAGTGCAGCGAGTCTAGCACATTATGCGAGCCGCATATTCCCTGATTATACTACAAATATAAGAGCTGAATATCCCTCTTGCTTAAATTATCAACCGTTTGGTTTTCATAAATTCCTCCACCCATCAGGAAAATATTTGCCTTTTGTTTGCCTTCAGAATCAAGGTCACTGGTGATAATTGTAATTATGAATTTAGCGGAGTGCCATTGAGAGGAGGTTGTGACAATCCTGCCCTGCTCAGCACCTGCTGCCCAGCCTGGCAAGAGGAATGGAGAGGGGGAGCGAGAGCATGGGGGCCCAATCCAGCTCGATGGAACACTGTTGCTTTCAGCAGGTGAACATTTTGTCCCTGATTGATGAGCAGTCCCGGAAAGGCTTATGCTGGGGAGATAAAGAAAGGTCTCTGTGTCAACATTTGTGCTGGCCACTGAACAAAAGACCTTGAGACTGAGTCTCTGTTGAACCCTGCGTGAGAGCAGGAATCTCAGTGCTCAGCAGAGGTGGAGCTGGGGATCCACCAAGGACAGGAGAGGACAGAGCGTGTCCCCCAGTAATGCCGTTGCCAACAGGCTGAATTTGCCCCTTCATGCAGAGCCGTACAACAGCAAAACGTGTCTGAAACAGCCCTCTAGTAGGATGGAACTATATGCTCACTTTGATTCAATGGGATTTCAAGTAGGGTAGAACAACCACAGGACCAGCCCCTGGTACATACCTATCTCACAGTTTCTGCCTTCATACCCAGGTGGGCACCAGCACACGTAGGAACTTACTGCATCCTTGCAAACAGCTCCGTTTTTGCATGGATTGGGGTCGCACTGATCTCCATCTTGGAGAGAAGACAGAAGAATTAACAAAAATGAATGTCCACCATGGCTGGGGCTGACCAAGCGCTGAAGCCTTGCTCTGTGCAAGCCTCCTGTTAAAGATGGATAACAGACTGTACACCTTCCTTCTTTTTAATGGAGAATAAGTCAGATCCTGGCACCCGAGTGCTCAACAGGCATCAGCGCTGCGGTAACATCAACAGCAGTGCTTTGCTTTGCCCAGAGTCCTAATTATGTACCCTGTCCCATGTTGATTAATTCTGATTGTTTCAGCAGAATTCCTTTTCAGTCTGCCTCATGCAATGTCTCAACAAGACCTCATGTCTTGGCCAAGTTAGACAAAGTTAGCAGGTTTGCTTCCTCAACAGTGGTTAGGATTTCCTAATCTGAGTTATTTTAATGTGTGATCTGATCTAGGTGGTCCTGCTCAGGCAGGGGGATTGGACTAGATGATCCTTTGAGGTCCCTTCCAATCCCTAACATTCTGTGATTCTGTAATACTACTGTCTTTGTTGTCTGAAGGTCTGGCCCTCTCCACCTGGGTTTGGAGACGTCTCTGTGTATTAGGATTGAGATCCTTAGTCGTTGCTCTTTCTAAATCTTATACTACTAACAACTGGTCTAGATATTTCTTTGCATGTCAAGGCTTTTATTTTCACAGTTGCCTACAGCTGAGTAGCTGAGGCTTTAATAAAAACACCCAGTATTGTGAAATTGGTGATCTAACCTTTTGGAAGAGTAAATCAGTGACGTTAAATTACAGGGAAGTGCTTTTTGAAATTATTATGCAAAGGCAAGGAGGAAGGGGAATGTCTTGACACATTTGTGTCCTGCCAGTAAGCGTGACTGTTAATGGTGCTTCCAGGAATGGGCTGGAGTGAAAAACGCAGGTGGCAAACAGGGACAAAATGGTTTTGTCTTGTCTAAGGGACGGTGTCAGGGTTTGCACATAAGGTGTGGATAGCGGCTGTTGTTGCTGCCTGGTGAGGGCAATCGGGGCTTGGTACCATGTGGGTACTGTGCAAGGGGTGAGCACCTTGGATGATAGAGGAATACATGGCATTTATTGGTTTTGAAGAGCTAATTGGTTACAGTGGCAGGGAAACAAATGCCATGTTGAGTTTCATCCGTTGGTTTTTCAGAGAACAGTCCTACAATGCAAATGTAACTTTTTTATTTTATAGTCTGGACTGAATAATCTGAATTATTTAAGGCTTTTTTAGTGAGATGTTCTGGGCGCTTCGCCAATTGATCAGTGGGCTCTGTGAACTGGTTTTGCTCTGTGAGGTTTTAGAAGTTTGTTCAAAAAAACCTGCTTGAATGAAGAAAATGTTAAGTAACTTGTTTTGACTTGAAATTGCTATACAAACAAGACGGGCCCGAACTGGGTGGCTGCAGGATTTAGGGTGCATTGACTCTGTTGTTTCAATAAACATCTCCTACTCATGGACTGAGAGATGAATATTATGCATTTGAACATGAAGAAAACAGCTCTTACCAATATATGTTTTCCAAAACTCCATCTGCAAAGAAAAAAAAAAAAGAAGTAGCTTCCTTTGGTTTCTAATTTCTGGGCACCACAGGAGCAAAGGGATGACTCCAAAGCTAAAGCAAAAGACTTGCAGGGAAACAACCAGCTCCGTAATCTCAATGGTGACCAACAAACCTTTAAATGAGTTCCCCAGCCCAGCTGATGGATCACAAACGAGAATAAACCACAACAGATGCTGCTCTTGGTCCCTGCAGGTTTCCCCTTTCTGTTCCCTCCTCCTTCCCCCTCTGCCTTGTGCCTTGAAAGGCTCATGGAGGTGCGGGCTGGGGGGAACGAGGTGCTGCCATTTTGCAGGGGTGATACGCACTGTTTTCTCCGTGTTTTCAAACACTTCTCGGGCTTCTTCGAAGCTGCATTTTTCTTCTATGCATTCTCTCTCGAGGTTCCCAGGAATAACCTCTTCCAGTCTGTTTGAATTGGCTCGCTTGTGCCTCTGCAGAACTGAGCTCGCCTCTTTGCTCTTGATGAAGACTGCAATTTGAAAAGAAATAGGGGCTAGAGAGAAACACGTGCTGTCGTGCGATGCAGCTGGGATGGGCTGTCAGGGCTCTGTTCTCCCAGAAAGCAAGCCCTTTTTGTGGGTTTACCCCGTGGCTGGGGACGTTTCAGGAGTGTTATCATCTGCTTGAGGTTTCTTTGACGTCTAACTTAAGTGCAATCCAGAGGATAAAATCTGGAGAACCAAGAGTCGAAGTAGTCGATGGACAGAAATGACTGATGGCAAGAGGGTGATTAGGAGAGCTGAAGTTTGACACTTAAAATACCCTAAAGCAGATGGTGTGAGTATCTCCTATCATAGATGCACAGCCTGGAATAAGCTACTTGAGAGGAGACAATAACAGGCATTTTCATGCTGTTCCTTGGTGAGGTCTTGTTTGGATAAATAAATTGTCCTGCTTTAACCGTCTCTGCCTGTTTTGGCTGTGAAAGACTGTTTGCCTCTGCAAGCAGCTGCAGCCCTTGGAAGCCACTGGCCTTTTGCTTCTCTCCCTGCTCCTCACCCTTGTCCATGTGCCGGAGTACCACTGTTCCTGTGGCCATGCCATCAGGAGGGGTGACATGAGCCCTCCTCACCCCCTGGCTCAGGTCATGTCAACGAGGTGGTGTCCATCCACCTTCAACTTGCTGGCCAAGCTCCTGAGCAGAAACCACCAGCGGAGAGCTGCTGCCACTGCAGGGACCCCCAGTCTAGGCGGGATGACCGCAGTGGCCACCAGCCTCCCCATGGTGTTTGCCTGGTGAAGAGCACAAGGACATGCAGTCCCATCATGATGCTACCACGAATGCTCTCCTGGCAGGACCATGCATCCCATCAGCAGGGTCAGCTGCAGATGCCTCCCGGTAGCAGCCACCCAGCAAGGTGGCCACCATCCTGATCCACCTCTCAGAGATCCTCACCTGTGCTGAGCACTCTTCCCCTATTCTACAGGTCTAAAAAAGGAGCTTTCACCCAGAAGAGCTTCCTGCTTTGCCTCCCCAGCCTCTCCTCTCTCTTCACCCTCCCTTAGCGCTTGCAGCCATGTCCCTTTTTGTCACCAGATGGCATGGTGGAGCAGCTCTTCTCGGAGCTGCTGGTGGCCACCCAGGACATAGACACTTTTCTGGGTGCTCTGTGCTGGAAGGGGTTCAGGCACCTGTGGGCCTGGCCCCTCTAAGGGTTAAGGAGATCGTAAGCCCAGCCAGACAGGCAGAAAGGAGAGCGTTGTTGTGTTGTTCCTTCCAATGGCTAACTTCTGCTCTTGACCCAGAGCAGATCCCAGCCTCTCCGAAACCACAGAGGATCGGTTTGGTGGAACTCTCATGAGCCCAAAGGGGTTTGCTCTGATCTATGCCATGTCACTGACAGTGTAACCAGCCCCTTCACCTGGAGATCTCTGCAAGAGACTGAACTAATTGTTTTTGCAATGCTTTTAACCAAGCTGACACCTCTGCCCTCCTCATGTGAGTATGCTTTCGGTTAAAAACGGAGTGCATCAAAATTCTGACCTTAATCTAATAGTTTGGCAGTAGATATTGATGGGTAAAGCACTGACCTCTGAAGAAGCCAGGCTTAATTCAAACACTGCAGCTCCTGTGACGTGGCTGGTCCCCTTCCAGGGGTTGTGATTTGCGTGTGGAACATGAGCTCAGACCCCTAAGTGAGGCTCCTCAGCTGAGCAGGGGGCTGAGAGTGTGGAGGCACCAAGGAGAGGCTGGAGGAGACATGCCCCCTTCTCCCCATGGCATGGGTGCAGCCTCCAGCTTGTCCCCAAGCTGGGCAGAAAATGCTCAGGGGAAAACGATGGAGCAGCCTTCCTCGGTGTGTAACCCTGGTGGGTTCCCCGCATGCTTCGTGCCTGGGGAACCCAAGGTGGGCACAGCCACACATCTCCCTGTGTGATGTGAGGCAATGGCATTAGAACCACTTCTTCCTTTCTTCCCAGTGGCCAGGCACCTGCCACAATTAATCCGTTGAAGGGAGAGAACTCATTTTAATGAATGCAGCTTTGCCTCCGTCAGATCCCTCCAGGCTTTCTCAGTTGCTTACTGATCCCACATGTGGCTCTACAAGCAAAACTTGAGTCGAACTGAAGGTTGCAGGCCCCATGGGGTCACAGGCGTGCTACTCACCCTGCCTGGAAACCATCCTCACACCAAGAATATACTCACACATGGCTCATCAACTTCTGAACTGGTATCTGAGAGAGTGAGATGGGTGGGTCTCTGGGCCAAGGGGCTGTGGGGGCAGACCTGTCCTGCCACCTGGGTATAGCCTTTTCTAGGAGGTACACCTGAGCAGGTGGTGGTACAAGTATGAGATTCTGGTCATTTTTCATTGCTAAGCAAACATTTTGGAAAGAAACCTCTTTTTTACTGTTGCAACTGTTACTTGCAACGTTTTACTGAAAGAAGAAAGGCCAGCCGTGCACCAAACAAGTACTCACACTGGATGTGACCCAGCCTCTGCTGGAACTGTTGCTGCTACAGATAAATCAAGCAACAGCCTGCATTACTATGTGTGATTGCCCACATCCATCAACTGCTCTGTCTTGTCTACAATTTTGGCTGCATCTTACAGTCTTTGTTAAATTCGCGCTGGGTTTGGCTTTTAACAATTCTTGCAGTGGCAAATCCAGTGGCTGTTCTACGGATGTGAGCACTTGTTTCTACTCCAGGACAAAGCAGTGGCACACGCAGAGGGGTGGATGTTACTCCACCAGCGACGCTCTCCCCTTTTTTTCCTTCTGTGTGTGGGCACATGCCCTCTAAAATGGCTGAATCAAGCTCTGGAGGCTGAAAATCTGCACAAATTTAAGAAAAATCCCATTCTTAAAATTAATCCCTGTGACACATTCTGCATAAAATCAGCATAAAAACTATTTCATCCCCAAGAAAAGAACCAGAGCTTTAAAGAGAGGAGCTATGAAACGATCAATCCCTCTGAGCTATCATCTCTTATGAAACTGCACAAACTGTCCCACCATCAAGTGACAAACCGTCTCTTCATCTGTGACAGTAACCCCACCACCCTCAAAAGTGAAGGACTTTCTAGGTTTCAAATGAACCCACCTGTACTTTCGGCACCAAGACAAGCTCCCAGAAGACAAATGAAGAGTAGGAGGGGGATATTTGCCATCTTCTTCCCACTACCCAAACCTCTCGCTAACAAATTGTTCGGGTGGTGGAGCTCAGTCGATAGTTCCAAAGTGCAAGTGCTTGTTTATTTACTCTGAGTAACCCTTTAATTTAAGGTCCCCAGATGTGCCAATGCTGAAGCTGGAAATGGCAGGATGGGTGTTACTGGAAGGGGCATGTCCACGTACAAGAACCTGCTAGGTATTTGCAGTTCTTGGGCTCATCTTCTGCCCTGTAGGATATTACTGCCATGTTTAGGGGTTGAGCATGGCACAAGAATAAATTAATTCAGGTTCAGTGAGCCTTTTCAAAGCACTGGATTTGCCATTCCTATCCAGGTGATGTTGCTGGCCAAGTAAAAGTCCACAGTAGCATTTTCAAAGGCTTCACCATGGTCCATGTTTCATCCAAAAGAGCTGGCACAATTCCCTCGAAGATGACCCTACAGATGATGTTTCCTCTTCAGGACCAGAGATCCTTGGAGCAGTGCTGCCAGCCAGCACTGTGTGGTCCCAGGTGGGTTATCTAATTAAAAATCTGGATGAAGTGAAATGCGACTATTGGTTCGTTATCCAGATCTGCTGGGGCAATCCCTGGAAACACATGGAGTTTCCCAGGTCCTTTGCTTGAGACCACAGGAAGGAACCTGCTACTCGGTGGCTTGGACAGTGGGCTGGTGTAGGGATGGGCTGGTAAAATGTCAGCTCTGGAGCAGGAAGAGCAGGCAGGCTCCTGGCTGCAGGGCAGCCTTTGCCCAGGGCAGGTTCACAGCTGCTCCTGATCCACACTGGCCAAAAAGCAGATGGAAAGGGAGAGAAGATAGAGAAAATGAAATAGGAAAAAAAGTGCATTTTCATATGAAACCATTCATATTTAATGGTGAGTTACTTACAACTTTTAAAACTCATTCCTTTCCTTTTTCTGACTTTCCCTTAATAAGAGCTATTTCAAGGTGAGTGATTGCTTTTGGGAAAATACTGAATACTGTAAAAAATTAAATGAAACATTCACTTCTGGAAAGGTCAAAAATCTCCCCCCTGCCCCTTCCTTCCTTGAGGAGTTGAAAAAAACCAAACTCATTAATCCTACTCTAGGAAGAGCTCATGGGCTTTCTGCCAACAACCTGTTCCTCAAAACCTGCTTCCCAGTTTCTGCTTCTCCCCCTGCTCGGCCGTGCACAGGGCAGAAAGGATATCCAGCATTGCACCTGTGCACATCTGGGGCCTGCAGCACTCTGCCCAACTGCAGAAAGGTCCCAGACAGAGGCATTTTAAAACAGAACTCCATTTCTGAGTGTGTTGTTGGTGCTCTTGCCTTTTGGTGTTGGCTTATGAGGAGCAGCAAGAGGCGAGCGGGCTCTGATGGCTTGTTAAAGCAGAAGAGCTAGAAGAGGGAAGCTGGCAGGTTTCTCTAGTTCCCAGCAAAACAAGATGGATATTCTGCTATCGTCAATGCAAGAGAATCCCACAGCGCGTTGCACGGCACCGCGAGTGCTCACAAACAGGCTAATGCCATCCGGTGAGACGCGGGGTACGTTCCGTGTTGGATGTGCCTGCGTCTCGCAAGCTGGAGAGCTATTAGTTGCTACGAGGCTACAACAGCCCTTGGGTAGTTGTTAAAGTGTTTGCTTGAGCTTCTGAACCATAAATTCTGTGTGCTCAGTCCAAGAAATTAAAAATGTTCCTTCGTGGAGCAAATGGGAGAGACGTTTATGGTTGCGTGGGTATTTGGAGTTCCTTTTATGTGCGGAAAGGACCAATCGTCTGCAGGTAAATAGGAGATGCTGAATGTGAGTTACAGCTGTCTGAGATCCGTGTTGCCTAGGTGGAAAAAATCCTTTATTTTCCCTCTCTTGAGCAAACAAAAGGTCCCGAAACCTATAATTCATCTCCTTTCTTCTTGCTCCGTTTGAAATGATCTTTATTCATTACTGACAGTAGCTTTTATTATCAAATTTCCGTGGTAGATAAATGAGTTAGGATGAGGTAATGTGCTGTTGATGTAAATTGAATGCAAAGCGAAGAAGGTAATGATCATCTCTCATTTTCTGTGCACAAGAAAATGCAAATGTGAGAAAATAAATTGAGCTAAAATGCTGAAACAATACGTCTCCTATCAATAAAGAGGAGTGCAGAGAATAGCCTGCCATAACAAAGGATAATTAGAATCTCATTATTGTAAATATTTTACTTTAGAACATAGGTCAGCCAAATTATTTTTGGTTTATGGTGCATATTTCACATGTAATAGTATTCATAACATCATTGCTAATTAATTTTCATAGAAAATGCCAACGTTATTAGAATAAACAAGGCTATTAATACAAATAATTTCTATTGTTTACTACTATTGCTGTCGACTTCTGGGGCACTAAATTGAAAGCAAAGTGTTTCTCTTTATTTATTTTGCAAACAAAATCCCCAGAATTGTGATCCCCACCGTGGGCACTTTGGAGATGAAAGCTTTGCTGCTTAGGTGGATGACACCAATTAAATATTGGATCTGGGTTTATTTTGACTTAGTGTTCTACGCTCTCAAAAAAAAGGCCATTTAAAACACACACCCAAGTCATGTTCCTTCCTGTTAAAAAGGCTCTTTTCAGCAATGAGCTGTTAGGAGATGTCTCTTCTGGTTTGAGGTGTTAGGTTTGGGGCTTTTTTGTTGAAATATCTCTTTTTTTTCGTTGGAACAGAACCGTCACACGCATGTGGCTGCTGGGTGTGTGTTTGTGTCAAAAGCAGAAGGAGCTGGCAGGGCTGCGGGGCAGCGTGTTCCCGGCAGGGCCACCACCTCGGGCTTGGGGACAGCCTGCCTTTCGGAGAAGGTTTTTGCTGCAAAGTGAAATGAAGTCTATGAGAAATTAGAACAAAAAAGGAACATTTCCATTTTAATCTGATAGATTTTTAAAATTTTTTTTTTAAATGTGCTCTGGCTGCACCGATCAATAATGTTAAAGAGCCTGATGGCTTGAGGATCTTGTTAAAGGATTGTTCATAATCTCCCTTGTCTCCAAATGTAGCCTTTTAAGCAAAAAATCCTTGCTGAAAACCTTAACCAAATTGCAATTTACCCTTGTCCTCTAGACAGCTATGGCAAGTAATCTTTCCTTAATCAACAGCAAATAAGCTATTTCTGCAAAAATAGGGAAAGTAACACTTCATCTTTTTTTTTTTTTTTTCCTCTCTATTTGATTACTTTGAAGTCCCTGGCTTTTTCTGGAGCAATAATTGTGGGAAGTTATCCAAACATAGAGGCAGCATAGCCACGGAGCTCTTTGCAGTGCCTATCATTCTGTTGTACTGATTAGTATACTGGAGAAAGTACCAATTCTGTTAAAAGTCCCAGAACACCTGAAGATACTAAGGTGTGTTTTGGATATCGGTGGCGTTAGTGGCCTACCCCAGGTGAGGATGTGCCCTCAGCTTTCACAGGTGGGATGCAGAAGCCTTGACCCCATGGCGGTTGCTCTGGGCCGATGGGATCGCAGGCACAGGGAGATGCTACCGATGACTTCAAATCTGTGCTGTGAGAGGAGAGTTCAGGAAAAAAAAGGAGGTGGATGGCTTGGTCATGTGCAGTGACAACCAGGACCAACTCTGCAGTGATGGTAGCATATGGTTTATGCAGGAGTAGTGTTGTCTCACAGTTCTCCCACCTCTGAAAGCCTCTCTGCTACTCCCTCTATCCATCCCAGGGCTTTCAGTTCCTGTGCTGGGCATTTTTCTTCCACTTTTATGCCAAGGCTTCAATACTTGTGCCAAGAAACAAGCTCCCCTTGCTGAATTCCCTCCAGACACATCCATTGCAGTTATCACTTAAGCTTCGTCCCTCCCATTTTATTCAGTTTTTAATTAAGACTCCTGAACAGGAGCGCAGAGCAAACTCTGCTTTCATCTGGGAGATACTGTGGCTGTGAAATATTTACAGGAAGTAAATAACTGTCAGAAAGTAAATAAGTCCCTGACTCTACACGAGTGTAAAAGTGCTTTGAAATGGTCTTATTCGAATAAAAGCTCCTCATGTTGAATGGCAGTAAGAAACAGCAACACAGACAAAAACTTCCCAATAGAGAAGGTAAACACAATTACTAATTCATGGAGCAGCAGGTTTCACAGCAGCAGCTTTAATATCTTTCTTTGCAGTTTGATTTAAAATAGGCCAGATTAAAAGGAAATCTAGATTTGGTTTGGTCATCACCTTTTCAGAAAGCGGAGTGCAAACATGGGTAGACGCTCTGTGCTGCTGAAGTTATTCTAAATTTAGACTTGGCCATCTCCACTTCAAACTCTGGATAAAGCAATGGAACAAAGCTTGGAGGAGGCAGCAGCTCTTGCAGGTTTTGATAGGTCAAGTAGATCACCAAGCTCAAACATCATTGTACAGAGCAAGAACTAAGTCAAATATAAGCTCAAAAGCTGGCTTGCCGCTGGCTGTGATTGTGGTTCCTCCTGCCCCAGGCTTGCTGATGTGAACATGACTTCTGGAAGTTGCTTTGCAAGAGATCTCTGAAAGATGTTTGTTTCTCCTCCAGCAAACCCATTGCTCCCATCTGCTGATGGTATTAATAGTGCAGTGTCCTAAAGAAATACTCCTGAACCAGGACTCTGTTTACAGAAACAGGTTAACTCCAGCTAGTGGCATCCAGATAAGCAGAGGGAGCTTGTTTCCTTCTTCACTCATGGGAAAAGATTCATCCTGCCTTGCTGCAATGCCTGTTGTTGGAGGAGGAAGGTGCATCTCTTGTTCTCTGCCTTTCTGTTTACTAGAAAAGGAGCCTTGATTGAAAGCCGATGCTATATGTCAAAATTTATTTTTGGATGGTAAAAGCCAAGGTGAAACGAGTCTCAACCAGCACACCCAAACCCACCATAGTCAAAGCCCTTGCACTTAACTCCATACTGAGCTTAAATGAATAATATTAAATGTTCTCACTTTGCTCGTTTTCTACATCAACGTTTGTGACTATGCCTTTGTTGATTTTCTTTGCCTTAACAATATTCC